TGTGTTGGCTCTTACATATACACACAACACACAGTCAATACATACATACATAAAAATAACATTTTTAAAGGTGGAAAGCAATTGAGGAAGATAGTCAACATCAATCTTGGGTTTCCACATGTGCCCGTGCACACACACACACACACACACACACACACACACACACACACACGTGCCCAAGAAATTAATAATAGAGAAGGGAAGATTTTTCCATATATATCTTTTTATATTTTAATATTTTACTTATTCTTTGCCAAGTTTATATATACATGCAATGCAATGTATCTTGAGTATATCCATTCTCCATTTTTGGGGGGGAGGGGTTTCAAGACAAGGTTTCTCTGTATTGTTTTGGAGGCTGTCCTGGAACTTGCTTTGTAGACCAGGCTGGCCTCGAACTCACAGAGATCCGCCTTTCTCTGCCTCCTGAGTGCTAGGATTAAAGGCATGCACCACCAATGCCCGGCTTATTCTCCATATTTTTATTTTTAATGATCCCGATATTTTAATTTTCAAAAGTGGAATTAAGGCGTAGGGAGGTAGTTTGGAGGGGCTCAGTTGATAGTTTGCTTCCTTAGCTGGCACAAAGCCTTGGGTTCCATCCCCAGCGCTGCATGGCGCATGTCAAGAGGTGGAGGCCAGATGATGAGGAGTTCAAGGTCGTCCTCAGGTGCACAGTGAGTTCCACACTAGCCTGGGACACACAAGAACCTGTTAAGAATGAGAGATGGGGAAGGAAAGAGGGAAGACAAAGGAGGAGAAGGGAAGGGAAAAAGAAAAGACAAGAGTAAGGAAAACAAACTCTCTCAGGAATGTTTTCCAAAAAAGCAGTGCTGGCCTGGCTGACAAAGGTCCCACCTTGATCCTGGCTGGGCCTTGTCCACTCCACACTTCCTTCCCTGAAAGACAGGAGGGGTGGCCCTGTGTGCCCTCAGCTCCTCCCAGACCTCCTCTTCTATAAATACACGGCTTTCCGGGAATGTGCCGTTTCTTGCCATGGTTACTTTCTGAGCCCTATAACCTGTGCACACAAACATAAGCTGACCAACCAGGGCTGACTCACAGTGTGGGGAGAATCCCCAGCAGCTCACGATTCACACTGGGTTACTTCCTTCTCTTGGACTTTCGTGTCACTTACCAGTGGTCACTCGCTTCTCTCTTAGGCACAATTCAGAAGCCTTTAATTTTACACTCTGACTTGAGTTAATCCCTTTAGAAAGCAATTTGATCATATAAGGGTAATAGTGGGAGAGTGTTCCTTGGTTAATTGCCCTCTACGTGACAAAGCCAGTTCTGGCCTATTCGTTCGTTTGGAATGATTTCAGTTAAGGCCTGTGAGAATGGGGGAACAAGGGTTATGGAAGCCTATGATGGGTGTAGGTGAGTGGATTGCTCTGCTGTGTCTAAAGTGGAGAAAGGCAAAGCCAGGGACTGAAAGAGCTAGTCAGGACGACTGTGTGTTGGATCTGGGGGTCTTTTCATTGCTCTGCGATGAACTGAAGCACCACTATGGCCTTATGTTTTGTGACGATGCACTGTAAAAGAATTGGAGTAACAGAAAGTCAACTGGGGGCTGGAGAAGGGTGGAGGCCAGGTGTTGTGATGCCAGAACTTGGGGTAGAGGCAGGAGGACTGAAGCAAGTTTGGAGCCAGCTTGGTCAACTTAGCAAGTCCCAGGCTATATACAGAGATCTCGTCCTAAAATCATCAAAATCATAACAAATTAAGGACAACGGAGATATTCTATGGATGTTATATGCCATCCAGCTCCACAGTTGGATGTAGTCCCAGCTCCAGAAGGAGCCACTAGACTGTTAGACCTGCTAGTATCTGATGGTGTGTTGGTTGGCATCACCTGAGAAGCTTTTCCATCCAGCAGATCTGTTGTTTGTGTGTGTGTGTGTGTGTGTGTGTGTGTGTGTATGTGTGATGTATACCAATAGTTAAATCATTCTGGCACATGTTAAATGTTTTTAACTAAAGAAGTTCTTCAATGCAATAATCACGTCCCTCCATATTTACCCGAAGAATTAAAGGCATACATCCACGAAAACTATACTTGTATGAATATTTATAGCAGCCTCGTGTATAACTGACAAAGCTTCAGAACCATCAGCGTGTGCCCAGGAGATGAATGGGTAGACAAGCTGTGGTACACTCTGACAATGGAGGACTACTCGGCATTAAAAACAAATGAGCTACACGGTAGCCCACACCTGTAATCCCAGAGCTCAGGAGCTGGAGTCAGGAGGATGAGGAGTTCAAAGCCAGCCTTGCTTACACGAGATCCCGTCCCAAAGCGGGGAGCACGGAGGGAGGGAGAAGAAACAAGCGCAACTACGAAGTGAAGGAGATATTCTCAAAAGGCTATATGTGGTGCCCGCCACATGGATCCAAATACTTGGCATCTGGGAGGAGACGAGTCTGGTTCACTGCCAACAGAACACAGAGGACCCGCAGTAGCATGAAACGAGACTGTAATGCTATGACATTCGTCAAAAGCCATAGAAGGCACAACTTCAAAGTGATAGGTTTTTCCTCCCGAGGCAGGGTGACCTCACTTAACACAGTCTAAGCTGATCTGGTCTCCTGACAATTTTGTAATTTCACCTTTCTTTTGAGCTGAATAGTGCTCTGTTTTATATATGTGCAAGTTTCATTATCCATTCATGTGCTGATGGGCATCTAGGCTGGTTCCATTCACTTGCTGTAATAAACAAAACAACAATAAATATGGATGTGCAGGTGCCTCTGGGGGGTGGGGTTCTCTGGTGCACATAGAGCAGGATGGCTGGGCTGTATTATGATTCTACTTTTTACATTTTTAAGGTTTCTCCAAACTGACTTCTATAATAACTGTATCAATTTGTACTCCCACCAGCGGTGACTGAGAGGGTTTTGTTTATTAGTTTTGTTTTTGAGCCAGATTCACTCTGTGTAGCCTTGGCTGTCCTTGAACTTACTATGTAGAAGAGGCTGGCCTTGAGCTCACAGACATCTGCCTGCCTCTGCCTCGGGAGTGCTGGGATAAAAGGTTCCTGTTTCTCCACATCCTCTCCAGCCATTCTGGCTGGTATGAAGCGGTAGCTCAAAGTAGTTTTAATTTACATTTACCTGGTATCTAAGGAGAATAAACACTTCTTAAAAGAGCTATTGGATGTTTGTGCTTAAAGAAACTGTCTGCTCAGTTTATTGCACTATTTACTGATTGGTAATTTTCTTTCCTTGGTGTCTAATTTCTGCAGTTCTTTGATAACTCTGTTTATTAACCCCTTGTCTGTACCCGCAGATGATAATGTTTTTCTCCCATAATATGGTCTCTCAGTGTGCTCTATTGACAATTTCTTTCTCCGTGCAGAAACCTTTTAATATCTTTCTTTCTTTTTTGTTTATTTGTTTTTTTTTTTTGAGACAGAGCTTCTCTGTGTAGCCCTGGCTGTCCCGGAAGTCACGCTGTAGACCAGCTGACCTCTAACTCATAAAGATCCTCCTGCCTCTGTCTCCCAAGTGCTGAGATTAAGGGTGTGCTCCACCACAGCTCAATTTTTTAATCTCATGTAGATATGTATATTGATTCTTAGGTTAGTTCCAGTGCTATTGAAGTTCTGTTCAGAGAGTTCTAGTCTACGCCAATGTCTGGAAGAGTGTTCCCTATATTTCACTGCTTCTGATTTTAGTTTTAAAAATAATTTATTTATTTTTATTCTATGTGCACTGGTGTTTTGCCTTTATGTGAGTCTGGGTGAGGGTGTCAGATCTTGGAGTTACAGACAATTGTGAGCTGCCATGTGGGTGTTGGGAATTGAACCCAGGTCTTCCAGAAGAGCAGCCAGGGCTATTAACCACTGAGCCATTTCTCCAGCCCTTGATTTCAGGTTATTGATCCATTTCAAACTTATTTTTGTACAAGGTGAAAAAATTAATACAACTTCATTCTTTTGCAGATAGTTATCCAGTTTTGACATTTGTTGAATAGACTTTTTTTTTCAAATGTATGTTTTTGTCTCCTTTGTCAAAAATTAGGTAATCATAGCTATTTTGGTCTATTTCCAAGTCCTCTATTTGGTTTCATTGGTCTACCTGACTATTTTATGCCAATACCAGGTTGTTTTTATCACTATAGCTTGATAATATAATTTGAGGTCAGGTATTTCAATGCCTCCAACAATGTTCTTTTTTATTTATTTATTTATTTATTTTTTTTTGGTTTTTACGAGACAGGGTTTCTCTGTATTGTTTCGGAGGCTATCGGTCCAGCCCGGCCTCGAACTCACAGAGATCCCCCTGCCTCTGCCTCCCGAGTGCTGGGATTAAAGGCGTGTGCCACCACCACCCGGCTCCAACAATGTTCTTACTCCTTACAATTATCTTGGCTACTCATGGTCTTTGATAGCTTCATATGAGTCTTTGAATTGTTTTTCTAGATCTGTGAAATATGACATTGGAATTTTGGTAGGTACTGCATTCAATCTGTAGATTAACATTGATAGAATAGCCATTTTCAAACCAAACTAATTAGCTGTGATAACAGGGGACGCTATGTGTTAATAAAGGGAATAATTTGTCAAAGAGTTGTAACAATTATAAGAATTTAGGTACCAAGTATTGGATAGAATAATGACATAGAATAAACAATAAAGGGCACAAAAAGGCCCATAGGCCCAAATATAATATGAAGGGATTTTAATACTTCCCTCTCACATTTAGATAAGCCTTCCAAACTAAAAACAAGTGAAGAAGCCTCAGAGTTAAAACACACTCTTCATCTACTGGACTGCGCAGATGGGATGCACTGATTACTCCATCCAACAGAGGTGAACATCTCTCTTGGTGGCACATAAAACCTTTTCCAAAGTTGGCTATGTCCTGGGACACAAATCAAGTCTTAACCAATAAAACATAATCGATATAATTCTTTGCAATCTATCAGGTCACAATAGAATAAAGCTAGAGACAAGCAACAAGAGAAATCACAATAGTTTTATTATAAAGTGGTGCTATCAGATCAATTCATGTCATCCATTGCATTCTTAAGATCAACTTTGAAAGCTTCTGTCACTCTTTAGAGCCGTATTTCCTATGAATTGTTAATTCCACAATAGAAACGGGTGGTCCAGGCAGGAGTGGAGGCTCACAGCTGGATCCACAGCACTAGAGATGATGCAGAAAGGATGCTATGAGGCCAACTTGGGCTACAGTGAGAGCCTGTCAAGAAAGAAAGAAATCGAGAGAGAAATGGAGAAAGAGAAAGGGGAGGAAAAAGGAATGAAGGAAAAAATAGATGAAGGGAAGGAGGAAGGGAGAGGGAAAAGGGTAGAGGGATATTCTGCGAGTTTTTCTATGACTTGACCTAGAAGTTAATAAGCTTGCTGATGTAAAGTTTACTTTGGTTGGGTGAAGAGGGGTTCCAGGAAGGAGTAGGAATCTGCACTCATTGGGTGTGCTTATCTTACAATATATACACTCCTCCTTCCCGGGGACACTAGTTGAGTATCATCTTCCAGTGGGGGTGGGTAATTCATAGGTTGACCAGTCAGCTTGCACATTGCTGTTCAGGACCAGGCTTCCGTTTGTCTCACTATGAGTCCTGACCTAAAGTTCTACACTCCCTACAGCAACTTCCCATGGCAGATGCTCCGAAAGTATTTGTTAATCTCACACAATTTGACATCATTTTGGAGACAGGGTTTCTCTTTGTACCAGCTTTATAGACCAGGCTGGCCTTGAACTCACAGACATCCACCTGCCTCTGCCTCCCAAATGCTGGGATTAAAGGCATGTGCCACCATCACCTGACTGTTTTTGTTTTAAGGAAAGGAGAAATAACACACTCAGAACCTCTAGCACAGTGCCTGGCCCTGGGAAAGTGTTCAGTGCCTGATAACTACTGTGGTTTGAATGGTAGTGACCCCATAGTCTCAGGCACTTTAATACTTGGTCCCCAGTTGGTGGCACTGTTTGGGAAGGCTTAGGAGGTACAGCTTGCTGGAAAAAGTACATCACTGAGGGCTTTGAGGTTTCAGAGCTTCATACTATTCTCAGTCCACTCTCCCTGTTCCCCACTTATAGTCTGAGATGCAAGCCCTCAGCCACCGCTCCAGCCGCCAGGCCTGCCGACTGCCGGGCTTCCCTGCCATGGTGGCGATGGACTCCTATCCTTGAATGATAAGCTCAAACAATCCCTTCCTACTATCAGTTCCCAGTTCCCTTGGTCATGGTGTTTCATTACCAAAATAAAAATGATTGTTATTTCCCTTGGTGACATTGCCCCTCAAAAATCTGAATGCATATTTTAAAAAAATTCTAGCTCTTAGGAGGCAGAAGCAGGTTGATCTCCATGGTTCAAAGTCAGCCTTGTCTACACAGTTTGTTCTAGTCCAGCCGGCACTATACAGTGAGACTCTCCCATCTCAAAACAAAATAAAATCCTCGAAAGCCTAGAGGTTATACACATTTAGGTAAAAGTAAAAGTATTAAAAAAGGGATGCAAAAGTATAAAAGAAGCACACACACACACACACAGGCTCCCAGCTCAACAGTGTCTGCAGGCGTTTTTTATCACATGTGGATTGCTCATGGCTGAGTGATCTGAACTCTGTGTCTGAGTCTATTCCAGTTCTTCTGTTTAGCTGATATCTCTAAAAGGCTGAAAGCTTCTCCTTTCGTTTCAGCAAAGTAGTCCCATTTCTGAGAAGGCCTACTGAAATATACAGCCATAAAACAATACATTTACGAAGCAACTGCTGCAACAGACATCTGGAAACACCCCAAATCCCTTTCACTCAGGAGCTGGTTCAATAAACTATGACACAGCCACACAAAGGAACACTCTGGCTGCAAACAGGGAATGAGGAAATGAGCTGATGGGGAACAGCTTCCTGGGTTTATGGTGAAGTAAAAAGAACAGGTGTCTCACTGGTTATAAAGCATGCTATCTTTCCTTTAAGACTTCCAAGAGCGGCAATTTTCCCTTTCGAGGTCACAGAACATTATCACAGGGGTCATCCAGGAAGCTAAGGCAGGTGACACACCAGCAGGAGACTCATGGGTAAAGGAGAAAAAATTACATCATCATATTGGAGAAGCCAGGAAGTTGGTTGTTTGATGTAAATCAACATCTACCCTGATTCTTGTGTGTCTCTGTGTTTTATATTTTTTGACACCGGCTCTAAATAGCTCGGGCTAGCCTAGAATTTCATGTGTAGCCAAGGATGACCTTAAATTTCTCATCTTCCTGCCTCCCCTTCCCAAGGGTTTTCTTAAAATAAAAATATAAAACCCTATGTATGTTAGAAAAACCACAAAAATACTTCTTTGATACTATAAATCTGGGGTCTGGAGAGATGGCTCAGTAGTTTAACATGCTTGCTGCTCTTCTAGAGGAACTGAGTTCAGATGTGAGCCCCAGGGCCAGGCGGTTCACAACCACCTGTAATTCCAGCTCCAGGGGATTTAGCACCCTCTTCTGGCCTCTGCAGGTACTGCCCGCAGAGACACATACATATACACATAAATAAATAATACAAGGAATATTTTTACACACTATAAACTTACTGGAAATCAACAAGAGAAGTGAGGACATTGCCAGAACACTAGAGCTTCTGCTACAAAACTGAAATGGATTCTGTCTGCACTTGTTCTGGAAGTTCTAGATATCTTTCTGAAATAAGAGAAACAAATTTATTCAGACATGGCATCAAATGGAAGAGGCAGGTCACAAGGTCATTGCAAACTCAGGTTCATTTACAGTACATTTAGAGACATTGGTGAAGCACTTGCAGCACCAGCACGGGTTTTTGAGATCAATTCCCAGAACCCGCACAAACGTGCTGGGGTTGGTGATCTCAGCACAAGGGAGGCAGAGACAAGTGGATCCCTGGGACTCATTCACTGGTCAGTCAGCCTAGTCTACCTGGTGAGCTCCAAGCCAGTTAGAGGCCCTGTCTCAAAAAACAAAATGCAAAAATAAATAAATAAATAAATAATGCGTTTGAAATTCCCAAGACATGGTTGAACAGGCCTTCTGAAGTTAGAGGCAGGTGGGTCTCTTGTAAGTACATATGCTTATGTTGAATAAATTTTTCCATGTCTGAGATTACACCCCTGACCCATGGGCGCTAGTTTTCCAGATCTTTCAGTATTTTCTTGGATGCCTTATTGTGGGATGTATTTATATAACAATTTTTTTAAAAAATCAGTAAATCTTTTACCCACTAATGGGTTGTGTGTATGGAAAATACATTTTAGAGTACATTTCTCATAAAGTGGTGGTGGTGTTTGTAATCTGAGGCCACTTCCCAACTCACCTCCGCATCTGAACTTCCAAAGCGCTCTGCTCTGGACGTCTCTGGACTGGACGCTTCCCATCTTGGGGTTCTTCAAAGGCCTAGTCTGGGCCGAGTCCCCAGGAAACCACAGATTGTTGTGAGAATCTACACCAGGGCTGGTCCCCCTAACCATTAGCAGCAAAGCTCCCTTCCCCCAAAGGCCGTCTGCCTTGCGCAACACTGAGAGTATTCTGCCTTACAGCAAGTCTACCAGAAGCTTCCCCTTCCCCCGCAGGCAGAGGCGGAAGCGTGTCTGGCAGCCTCAAGCCTCCAAAGGACAGACTTCTCAGTCTTACTGCTGGGCTGAAGGTCAGAGACAGAGCATGCCAACTCCAGCCGTCTCTTTCCACGGTTCTTGCGGAGTCCTGTCAGCCGTGTCTCCTCCCTTCAGCTCCTGGCTTCTTACTCCTGAAGACCACATTTCACGAACTCTAGGCTATCGATGCCCACCGCATCTTAGACGCATCGGCTGACAACCACATTTCACGAACTCTAGGCTACCGATGCCCACCGCATCTTAGACGCATCGCCTGACACAGACGCACGGGGGGGCTGCCACGTGTGCTGCTTCTGACCCGTGAACCAACTCCAGGCTTTGCACACGCTAGACGAGTGCTCACCACAGAGCTGTATCCCCACCGGCACCCAGTCTCTTTCTCCTCTCTGTCCTGAAGTTGTGACACAGCCCCTCCGGGCTTCAATGCTTCCAAGGAGAAGACTGAACTGACCATTTTCCTGTATGTGTTCAAGTCATTGCGATGCCTCATTTTCACTGTCAACTTAAAATCAGCTAGAAGACACATGTCAGAGGGTACGTCAGAGGTTACATCCAGAAAGTTTTAAGTGAGCAGGGAAGACGGGCACCGTCCTGTTGTTGGGGTGCTGGGCTTGATGAAAGGGGGCAAAGGAAGAAGGCAGAACAGCAGCACTCAGCCCTGTCCTTCCTGACAGCAGTGTGACCCTGCCTCTCGCTCCTACAGCCACATCTAGGGCCATGCTTGCTCCCATGTCTTCTGTCCACAACGGACTATGACCCCTAAAGCTGTAAGTCAAAATAAGCCTTCCTTTCCTTAAACCACTTCTTGTCAGCTAAACTTCGTCATAGCAATGAGAAAAGTGACTAATACAATCACTATCGAGCATCGACCCGCAGCCTCCTCTACAGCTTCTTCTCCATCCTTGCCCCAAGACCCCCATCTTCCTTTCTGACCTCCCCCCATACCATTAGAGGGTAGCCAGGCTGGATGGCCTTTGCCAGGAGCAGGCCCTTCAAATCTGAGGCAGTGACCAAGCCACACAGATGGCCCAGGGTGCTGAGATCAAGTCTGACCTCAGTCCACTTAGGTCTTTGGAATCTATTAGTCATTCCTCCTCTATGCAGAACCAGCTCTCTCTCTGTCAGTCTCCTCCTTCTATAACTTCATTATAAACCAGGGCGCGATGCAAAACAGTTTGTGTAAACACATGCTTAAATACAATGTTTATATACACATATTTAAATATGTAATGTATGATAAAAATAAAAACGCAAAGCTTATGTAAGGAAAGAAAAGCTTAATGTGTCCACTCATGTGAGCAAAGGCAGTGTCATGGCTAGTCTTGGTTGTCAACTTGGCTGTATCTGGAATGAACTACAGTCCAGAAATGGAGGGCACACGTGTGACAGATTGTCTGCTTGGTTTGAAGAAGGTGAGTCCACTTCTAGTCAGGACCTTTGAGGCAGGAAGACTCACACCTCTGACCCAGATCTTGAGGCAGGAAGACAGACCTTTAATCTGGGCCACACCTTCTGCTGGAAATCCTATGTAAGGACGCGGAAGAAGGAAGATTTTGCTCTTTGTCTGCTTGCCCTCACCTAGCTCGCACATCCATTCCTTCTTCTGAACAAATGCTAGATTCTTGAACTTCCCATTCACAGCTAGCTATTGTTGGCTTAGTTGAACTGCAGTCTGTAAGTCATTCCAATAAATTCCCTTTTTATACACATAGATACTCATCCATACGTTCTGTGACTCTATGGAACCCTGACTAACACAGGCTAGCATGGTGGTTACCTTGAGTGAGAGGGAAGGAAAAAAAAGCCTGGGAAAGTGAGTAAGTGCCCCAACCTGTAGGGCTCTGAATTAGAAGGAAGGGTTTGGAATTTTTCCTAAGTGTCACAAGAAACCATTAAAAGTTTTCACTAGGAAGGAATGTATTCAGAGTTAATTTTTGAAAGATCACTGTCTACATCTAAAATGGCTTTAGTAAACTACAAACTTTTTTTTCTTGCTAACCTCCTTCCTTATGCCTATTCTTCTGAAAATTCAATTCCCCTCCCTCGCACCCCCCCATGCATGTGACTTAGGCTTGGCCAATCACAGTACCTCATTTCCTTGCACACAATCATTGGTTCAATGCAGTCATGTAATATAAGCAGAGCCTTCCTTGTGACTCTTGGTTTGGAGCTGAAGAAGCAGCTTTGGTGTCTGGGATCTGTCGCTGAAAGGATGTGAAAGCAGCCATCTTTACTTTTTGCTTTCCTTTTTAAAAACATTTATTTATTTATTTATTTATTTATTTATTTATTTATTTATTTATTTTGTGTGTGTGTGTGTGTGTGTGTAGGCATGCACACATGTGCCAAAGCATGCATGTAGAGGTCAGAGGACAACTGGAGTCAGTTCTCCCCTCCCACATGGGTTCTGGAGATAAAACATGGCAGCAGCCATCTTGTCTACCTCTACTAGTGGACCATTTACAGCCTGTGAGAAAGAAATCAGGCAGAACGAGCCGAGGTAACAGACAGTAGGACAGAGAGACTCCCTCTGACACTGAATCCTGACTCCAGAGGTCAGCACCTTGACTGCCCAAGTCCTTTCTGCAGTCCTGAGAGTGTCCTGTTTCTGCCATGAATTTTCTCACTTTACTTGACCTGGCCCTTCTTAAAGCCAGGCATGCCAGTGTATGTGTACTTGTAGCCCCAAGACTCTGGGGAACTGAAGCAGGAGACTCACAATTTCTGGACCAGTCTGGGGTACATAGTGAGGTCAAGGCCAGCCTGAGCTATGTACTAAGATCCTGTCTCAAACAAAACAAAACAAAACAAAACAAAACAAAACAAAAACCTTACTTCAGCATCTCTTCCTTAGCTGCGTTTTGTGCATGTGCTCAATCTCCATTATTCTGAAGCAAAATCCACTTCCATCTTGAACATGGAACAGCACAAAATCTTAGTGCATTTGTCCCTTCCATAGAGAAACAACAATAATGTGTGTTCCCTGGTCTAGGAGAAGGAAACCTTGGCTATCAACACTGCTCAAAATGTTTAAGATTAGAGAGCTGGAAAGATGGCTCAGTAATTAAAGCACCTGCTATTCTTTCAGAAGGCCTGAGTTCAGTTCCCAGCACCCACATTAAGCGCCTCACAACTGCCTGTAACTTTGACTCCAGGTATCCTGCACCCCCTTCTGGCCTCTGGAGGTACCTGCACTCATACATACATACACCAACACACACATATACACACAATTTAAAAAAATAAATAAATCACAGATCTGACTAAAACTGAGACGTGAGTGGCTAAGGCCCACCCAGAGATGATCCAAGACCAGGTGTCTGTGAAAGGATGGCCCATGGGGCTTCTACTGCATGGGGCTCACAGTGACCGCATCTGTCACCATTATCACGTGGTTAAGCTACGATGGCGTAATAAAGCAACAGTTACAAAAACAACATCTACTGCTATAGGCAATGCTTTATTGTTTATACATTTCCTCATGTGGTCCTTGCAGCAACCTTGAGGTAGGTATATCCCCACTTTACAGATGAATAAACCAACATCCCTATGGGCCAAAGATCCCACGTAAACCCACTGGTAACTCCAAACCCAAGGGGACTCTTGAATAGTTCACAGGCTGCTGTCAAGGAAAGTAGAGCAGAAAAGGTCAACTGGAAAGGGCTGCATCACCACTGGAGTCTGAGGCCCCTCACCAGGGATGGGCCAGGCACATTCACAGGCCAAGACCAGGACCGAGCGGAGCACACGGGGATCACAAAGCAAGAAACGAGGCGTCAGTGTCTTCAAGCGCGTGCAGAGCCAATGACTGGATAGATGTTATATCTCCAGCAGCAGCATGTCCAGGGTCTGGCAGCAGGGCAGGGAGGGCCTGCCAGAGAGCAGCACCTCCCCCACATGTGGTGACCATGGGCAGTGGTCCTTTAACCTCTTTAAGGCCTTAAGCTCTGATGAAAGCCATCCCAACCCCCCCAAACATACACACGTGGACAGACATTTTGCATACAATTCTGGGAGTCCGTGGGCCCCAGCTGGGGGACTCCTGCTTTAGGGCAAGGGTGAAAGTCACTGTGGCAAGTCTATCTTTAACCTGCTTATATTCCTGGTACACATTTCTGGACTCCTTTTGTCATCCCCTAATATTTAGAATGTTGTGAAGTCAATTTTGAAGGGAAGCCAAGGAAAGAGGGAAAGCACAGCAGTGGCATGGCAGTGGTGGCAGCCAGAGGGTAAAGACAAGGAGAAGGATGGGGACCACATGTCCTGCTGTCCTTCCCACCAACAAGGTCACTTTGGGAACTTTGCTCAAAGTCAGAGACACTCTGTGGGGTGATGGGGCGTGGTTTCCCTCACTGGCTACAGAGGATAAAGTTGTATGGGCAATGTCCCTCATTCCAACCTTCCTCTCCTACACCCCAAAAGCACCCAGGCACCAGCCCTGTCATTCATGCACATATGGACAGGTCTTCTAGGCACACCAGTGAATAGACATACACTCTCCCAGGAACAAAGGGAAACTGAGAAGGGAGAGATCTCAAGGCAGTCAGGGGATCATGCACTCCCCAGTCAGCAAACGGGAAAATCACACAGCCACCACAAAGACGCAGTGCACACCAGCCCCAACTACCTCTGTGGTGTGGTGCTTCCTTCTGTCCAGGACCCACCATAAAGAAGTCGGAACTATGTCCTTGCTCTTTCCCGCTACAAATGAGCCCAAGATCGGGGGCCATGGCAGAAGGGTCACGGGTTGATCTCTCACAGGAATCAGGCAAAGGTCTGGTCCTCAGCTTATCCAGGTCCAGAGGATAGAACCAGACCTCCAAGTGATCACACACAAACTCCAAGAGAACTGAGCAGCCATGATCACCTCCCACAGCCAGTAAACCTGGTCTTGGTAGGTGCTAGCTCCTGGGATTCCTCATGGGCTGGCAGTCATTTTCCTGGCTCTAGATGGATGTCTCATCACAAGTGGCTAAAGGAGCCCCAGTGAGCCGGATGTGGGCTGGGCTTGAGCAAGAATCTAGCAGGAAGGGTGGGGGGAAACCACCAAAACCACTGCCCCTCTTGGCCAGGGCCAGGGGCAGCCGTTCATCTTCAGGAGAAGGGGAGGGAGGGTCTTGGCTATAGCTTGTGGTCCCAGAAGGTGGAGCCCCCAGGTCTAAGCCCACCTTGTCTCTAGCCAGAAGTTCCCTCTGTCGCCGACGCTGCTGACGGCGACCAATCAGGAGGAGAGTAAGGGATGCTGCAAGTACCCCCAGGAAAAAGCCAACCAGTCCAGCCCCCACCACCGTGTGGGCCCGGCTTGAGGGTCCCCCCTGGCTGCCCCGCACCAAGCTGTAAGCAGCCACCACACGGGCTGCTCCACCCTCCTGACACTCACAAGCATAAGCACCCATGGCCCCTGGGGTCACCACCACCTCTAGTCCATCCCTTCGGGCGTTGAGTGCAGTTACTCCACCGGGCTGGTGCCATACACAGGATGCCCACGCGGAGCTGGGGGAACATGGCAGGACCACATGGCCCTTGGTAGCCACTGGAACTTCAAACACTACCGGGTGTTCTGTAGAGAGAAGGCACAGGCACAGAAGACATGAGGTTACCAGGATGAGGGAGCTTATGGAGAGACGTCAGATATGGGATGGAGTTGTAGAGACATTGCCAAAAAGGATTCCCAAAGAGGGAAAGGCCCTGCGACCCTGGATGCCATGTCTTCGCGGGTCCAGGTTTTTTGATTAAGTCAAAAGTGGACAACTCCCTTGCCCTTTCTGTATATTCCACCCACATTCCACCGAGCCATACAGACCTCCAGGCTCTTTCGGACACAAAGAGGAGACATCCGCTGACTCTATGTCTTGGACCATCCTACAAAGAAGAGAATGTCTGGTAAACCTAGAGTTCACGTGTGCCTGCATCCCCCTCAAAACCCCACGGTACCACGGTACTCAGTTATGACAGTACTCATTCGCTGCACAGCCCACCGTCTTACAAACCACCCTGGAGTTAGTCAGCATTCTCCCCACCACCAAATCTCTCCTTAATACCCCTTACGCTCCTCAAGGCATTTGCCCTGCCAGATTCTATACATGTTCCTAGAAGACAATCTGTTGGAAAGATGCTTGGTGGATACGCCCTAAAAGGAAGAGAAAAGTCCATAACTACAAGATTTCTCTTACTTAAAGCAGGGAGGTGACTCAACAGGTGGGAACGCTGGTTAAGCAGTAAGGACTTCAGCTTAAACCTCCCGCCCCATGAAAAAGGCCGTGTGTGTGAGGCTAGCCTGGTACACCACAGGGCTTCAAAACAGGAAATCTCAGCGTTGCTTTGAAAAAGTATTCTGCAAACAGCTAGCCAAAAGATGCTCCATTGAGGGAATCCATATCAAAGATTAACAGCTGAGAATTTCGTTTGGGGAAGGATGCCTGCCTAGCAGGCGTAGACCCCAGGTTAGAATCAGGCATGAATCATGATGTCTATAATCTCAGTGTGTGGGGGGATGAGGCGGGAAAGATCACATGAATTTGAGGTCAGCCCAGGTTATATACAGTGAGTTCTAGCTTGGTTGTCTAGAATGTACTGTAGCCAGCCCCACTACAGATTAAGACCTCATCTCAATTTTTTAAAAACAAATTGAGAGATACTTATGAAACATAAGCCTACTAGGATTGATGGTATTATTTGAATCTTGATTTATACAGGTTGTTTATGCAAGTATATGCAAATGAGAAAACGGAAACATTGACAGGATATTTGATGACACTAAGAAATTAAGAATTGGGTATGGCTGGGCAGTGGTGGCACACACCTTTAATCCCAGCACTCGGGAGGCAGAGGCAGGTGGATCTCTGTGAGTTCATGGCCAACCTGGTCTACAGAGCGAGTCCTAGGACAAGCTCCAAAGCTACACTGAGAAACCCTGTCTTGAACTCCCCGCCCCCCCCAAAAAATTGGGTATGGTTATAATAGGTAATATTACTCTATGCAACATGGCTATTTATTTTGCATGTGTGTATGTATGTGTTTGTGTGTGCACAGATTGTGTGCGTACACGGGGAGGTCAGAGGACAATCTCAGGTGTCATTCCTCTGGCAGCCTCCACCTTTTTTCCCTCTAGACCCACTACGTGTGTGTGCAGTGCCTTCAGAGGCCAGAAGAGGGCACCGGAGCCCAGAACTGGGAGCCATCATGTAGAAGCTGAGAATTGAACCTGAGCTCTTAACTGCTGAGCCATCTCTCCAGCATGCCCCTACCCTTCAAAGCACCCTTGTATGTTAGAGATAACTCAAAGGTTTATGGATAAAGTGATATGAGATCTAAGATTTGTTTCAAAATAACTGGGGGTGAAGTTGTTAAAAATATAGGACTGGCCAGGCATCAGGGATGGAAGGGGTGGATATATGGAAATTTATCTTGTTAGCCTCTCTACTTTTGAATGTGTTTAAAATTTCCGAGAATAAAATGTTTCTAGGTGAGTCTTTATGGGCTAGAGAGACGGGGTGAGTGAGATGTCGGGGGTTGCTTCTGTATGGCATATTTTTTAGGTCACCGCTGAGAGGCAAACAGGTGGTGAAGCCCTAAGTGAGCAAGAGAAGGTCATCGAGGAGGCTGAAGCGCAGCCCAGTAGAAGCGACTGGGTGGGGACTCCCAGTGGATGAAACACCTGCCGCGCAAACCTGGCGGAATGAGTTTGGTCCCCAGAACACACATAAAAGTTGGCCATAGCAGGGAGGTCTCCGTCATCCCAGGGATCCCACCGCACCCCTGCTGACTGAAGAGGGGAAACAGAAGGAGCTGGGGCTTGCAGGCAGTGCACCCCTGCTGACGGGGGGGGGGGGAAAGCTTGCAGGAAGCTAGCTCAAACACACAATAGTGAACCACAAGACAGATGTGTCGGAGTGGAAAGTGAAGACTAGCGCCAGAGGCTGTCCTCTGACCTCCACACACATGCAGGAGCAATAGCATGTACTTGCTGGTCCTTGTACACACACATACACATACACACACACACACACACACACACACACACACACACACACCAGTACATCATATGGACACATTATGGCAGTGGGAGAAGCCAGAAGAGCAATGATTCGCTCTGGGTCTGGAGTCCATCAATGGCAGCACAGTGTGTATAATGTCCCGTGTGAGCACCTGCAGGACAGCAGTCAGTTTACCGAGATGAGCACGTGAGGGAAAGAGGAAAGCCCAATGCATGTAGACTGGGCCTGTCTGGGCTGCTTATGAAGCACTGTGGGCAAGTATGAGGTACAGGTTTACATGGGTATTGCTTCAACTATGTAAAGATGGGCCACATTTGTTTATGCTGCGGAATATTACTTCAACCGTGTAAATGCCCACTGCATTTGTCTATGCTGCACTTGTTTAATGACGTAAGGACGCGTTACGTTTGTTTGTGTGTTTTTTGTTTAACTATGTAAAGATGTGTCACATTTGTTTCACCTTGCCTGACTAAGATACCTGATTGCTCTAATAAAAGGCTGACTGCCAATGGCCAGTCAGGAGAGGGATAGGTGGGGCTTCCAGGCAGTGAGGATACGTAGAGGGAGAAATCCAGGCTCAAGAGAGGAGAGAATGAGAGAGAGAGAGAGAGAGAGAGAGAGAGAGAGAGAGAGAGAGAGAGAGAGAGAGAGAGAGAGGGACGTCTGGGGCCAGAAGCCAGGTACCCTCCAGACAGACAGACATGGGAAGCAGGGAGAAGAGGTAGGAGGGAAGGAGGGAGGGAGGGAGGGAGGGAGAGAGGGAGAGAGGGAGAGAGGGAGAGAGGGAGAGAGGGAGAAAGATAGAGATAGAGGGAGGGAGGGAGGGAGAGAGAGAGAGAGAGAGAGAGAGAGAGAGAGAGAGAGAGAGAGAGAGAGAGAGAGACCCCTGAGGCTAACCTAGATGAAGAGAAACAGGATAATTTAAGTTATAAAAGCTAGTGGGTCAAGCATTTATAACTAATAAGAAGTCCCCGTTTCATGATTTAGGAGCTGGTTGGTGGCCCCAAAAAGAAAGCCTGCTGTGCTGCAGCTCTGCTAGAGACATGTTTGTGACAATGGCAGGAATGGAATCACCTAAGCAGAGTGTAAAAGAGGAGCACTGATGCTCAGTGACTGGGTGAGGAGACAGCAATCAGCAGGGTGAGAGGAGAGAAAGTCCAGCAAGGAGAGGGAGCGCGCCTGTGAGAGCATCTGATAAGAGGAAACTGAGAAACGTCTCCTAGAGATGGTGCCGGTTCCACTGCCCGTCACCAGCTGACGCGGCTCAGTCCCACTGTCAGGGCAGGTCGAGCACTAATTAGGCAGTACCAGACAGACAGACGGAAGAGCTAATACGGGCTGACAGATGGACAGGCAAGTGCTGCAGACTCTAAACAAGAAGGTACACGCAGACAGCAGACAGGGCAGACAGGGCAGCATTAGCCGCTGGGCCAGGCATATGGGAGGGGCGGAGCCACAGAGGGCGTGGGACCAAAGCAGAGCAGCCCCACTCACCCACGGTGCTCTCCTGCATGGGCCACACAAGCATCAAGCCGGAAGCTCCAGGCACACACTGGGTCCTGGGCCAGGATACACTCCGAGCAGCTCTGAAGACGGCCACAGTTGCTGGTGTTCACTTGCGTCACCTCGGAATGGGAGCCCACCAGGAGCCAACCCTACAGAAATGGAGCCGGGAGAGAACACGTGCCACAACTTCCAGACCAGGTCATGAACTGGCCGCGGACTCCGTGCTCCCCACCTGGCCCCTCAAATACGCAACTCACATGGTACAGTTTCATGCTCTCAACCGGCTGTGGCTCTGGGAACAAGGCCAGATCTTCCAGGACGCTGAGCTGAGCTCCAATGCGCACAGCCCGGTGGATGTGCCCATCCTCTAGAAGGCAGGCAAAGGGCAAGAAAACGGTAGAGTTTGCACTGTGCCTGGGACTCAGACTCCAGTATGTCACAGGGGACCGCTCTCTAATGACAGTATGCACTATGCAGATGACCTGCTTGATGTTTAAATATACCTGTCCCCAGGTAGAGCACATCGTATTCTTTCCCTGAGAGGCTGGTCACCCTGTGGGCCACAACTCTGAGATACGCTGTATCTGTAGTGACCAGCAGGGGGCGGCCGTCAGTTGGAAACACGGGCCTGTCCATGAGCGGGTGATCTCTGATGAAGGTGAGGACTCGGTCAGGCAGGGAGAGTGAGGACCCAAACTGCTGGAGCTTCATGTTGTTGGTGATACACTACAGGAGACAGGTCTGGGTGACAGTGTTTCTCAGGGAACAGGAAGCGTCGGGGTGTTTAGCACAACGCTTGCCCTTTGTGACAAGGGGTGAAACTCGGGCCTGAGATGAAGACCTGCCCCACCGCCTCACCTCTCCAGGTCTGGGCTGGGGCACCTCGTTGTCCATGACAGGTAGTCCCCTGTTGCAGTCATGTTTTAGCTCTCTAAAGGGACCACTCAGCACTGCCCGGATATCCTGGGGTCGGAAGGCGCACACAGCAGAGATGGTAGCTCCTTCCCTGGAGGAGTCACAGATTGGAGCCAGGGATCTGGAGAGGGCTAGGTGACAGCAACTCATCCCTTATCAAATGAGATGATCCCCGAGAAACGCATAGGAGCCATGCAGCTGAGGGAAAGAGAGTCCGCCTGCATTGACCACACCGACTCCATGGGCCTCCCGCCCTGTCCCTCTCCCCCACACCAGGACCCCCTCACCACTGAGAGGAAAAGATGCCATAAAAGACCGGAGTCCCCGTTCTAGGCTGAGGTCGAAGCTCGGTCATATCCTGCAGGACCCCGGAGGCCTGGCCATGCTCAGGCCCTGGACACAGCAGGTCAGCCTTCAGAAAGGTTGTCCATCTCTGCTGAAGGGTCTTCCGGCCCCCAAGGTCCCCCTGGGGTGACAAGAACATGGGAAACACTCTTCAGAAGGACCAATATTAGGCAAAGCGGGTGTAGACGAGCCCTCTGGTCCCCCCCCCCCCCACCTCACAGCACAATGGGCAGGTGAGGACACAGACAGACGACATGCAGTGTGAGAAACTGGGGGTCAGACACAGAGGTGGACAGGGGCACGGAAACACGGACAGTGACAAAGTCAGCTGAGTACTTACAAAGACCCGTGACCCCATTTACTCTTGAAAACACTTACCGGTTGGCATTAGTTATTTATGTAAATTCTACATGTGTGCTTCAAAGGTGCCAAAGAATAAACTAGATCACAGAGGCAGGAAGTGGTGGGGCAGGACTTGAACCTGGGTCCATCATTAGCTCCTTCAACTTCTAATGTAAGTGTGTCACAAGGGTAAGTGTGGGGGTAGAGACAGAGACACCTCCCTGGCATTTCTCAAGCTCCCATGAAAGCGAACAAAGCAGACAGAGGAGGCAGGCAAAGCAGGCCCAGAGGGGAGAAGACAGAAGGACAAACACTGGCGATGACAGACAGACAGCCAGGACAGAGGATCTCACCGCACACACTCGGGCCACCCGTGGGACCTTGATGCGCTCATATGAGTTCAACACTCGGGAGGTCTCCGTGAAGAAGAAGAAGATTTCGTCGTCTCCATCTTCATCCCCCCACTCAGCCGGGGTTAGGATCATAGCCGCAACAAAGGCTGGGGCTGAAGAAACCAAAGACCTCAGATCTTCACAGACATAGCCTGGGGCTACCCAGCCTCCACCCCGTCCCTCTCCCCACCATTAAGCCAAGATGACAAGGTCTCTGTTCGAATCCAGTCCTCAGCACGACCCACAGCTCGGGAGATAATCGGTTCCGTCCCCAGGAAGTTTTTCACGGTGGCAGTGTAGAGGACGCCCCCTGCTGGGTGACAGGGAGGAGATGGGCTGTCAGAGACACACCCCAGGAAGCAGAAGCAGTCACAGGCAGAGCGTGGGACAAAGCAGAGGAGCAACAATGAGCACCCACCACAGGTCACCACCGGGGACACCCCACTTACAAAAAAGGGAAAGGAAGCGCTGCAGTAGGAAGTCCGCACTGAAGACTTCTAGAAAGACTACCGTAGGGCAGAAGCACAAAAGACTCTCCAGTGGGCATTGGGCGTCAACGCAGTAACTGGTGATAAGCTGACTGTCCTGAGACTCCCCAAGAGGTAGCATTTGCTTTACAGCAAACCCCAACCTTACTCAAGTTATCCACTATGGAGCAGTCAGGGAACCTGTGTTCTTTCTGAACACTGCTGGGTACGCTACTCTGGTACAATTCACCAAGAGCCTACTGGAATTGCTTGGAGACCTGTTGACAGAGCATGCATGCCCCAACTCCCTGCATTCGAAACAAGCAGGAGTTACTCTGACACAAGCGGTTCAGGCCTCACGTTGGGAAATACCAGTCCAGTTTGACGAGAGCACGCTTTATTGACAATGAGGACAGCTGAGGAGTGGGGCTCTTCCCCCTGTACAGAAACGGTTGCAAGCACTCTGGGAACAGTCACGGTAAGAGAACAGAGAAACCACAAACACTTTGATTCAGAGAGACGGCCAGCTCTGTCACCAAGAGTAACACGGGCAAAAGCTCAGACACAGGAATAAGAAAGTGGATGGGGGCAAAAGAAAGTCGTGGGCATCTGGAAGATTTCAAGCACCACAGGCATTTGGAAAAAGCAAGGTGGCAGGAGTCCACCAGCTACTGTGTAAAGGCACTGTACTGAGCCATCACTGTCCCCACAGGCTCCCACTAGAGTGAGGAGGACAGGCGTTTGTTCAGAGGCCAGGAGTCTTGAACCAATAGATGGAGGCAGGCACAGGGGATGATCCAGCCATACCTACTGGGGGTTGCAGCATCTTTTGAGGGGTAGCAGGGAAGCACCAGGGATTGAAACCAAGACCCCCGCAGAAGTCAGGCAAGCGTTCTACCAACTGAGCTATATCCCCAGGCCATGGCAGCTCTGAAGAATGAAGTTTGCCAGTGAGAGTGCTTCAAGGAGAAAGGTAGGAAAGACGTGAGGAGAGGAACCATATTCAGGCCTAAGAACCACGGTGGCTGACGCCCAGAGGGGCAAAGGCAGAGCACGCAGAGGCAAGGCCAGAGGCATGGAGATGTGCCCAACTGTGAAATGTGCTCGGCCATGCTGGGAAATGTAGTCTTTATCCCACAAGGTAAAGAATAGAACTGCAGAGCTTTTTTAATGGGGAGATTAATATAATCAACTTGTGGTTTCTAATAAAGTAATGAAGGCTGGAGGTTTAGCTCAATGGTATAGTATTGGCCTAATAAACCCAAAGTCCTGGATTAGGAGCCCACAGTGGTGATGACGATGATGACGATGATGATGATGATGACGACAACAGGTAGGCATGGTGGGAAGCAGAATCTGTAATCCCAGCAGTAGGAAGGCTGAGGCAAGAGATGACAAATTGAAGCCCAGCCTGAATTACAAAACAAGGTGCTGTCAAAAGGAGAGGAGAAGGGCTGGGCATGGTGCACGCCTTTCAACACAGCACTCTGGAAGCAAAGGCAAACAGATCTCTGTGAGTTCAAAGCCAGCCGGGTCTACAAAGCAAGTTCTAGGACAGCCAGGGCTACACAGAGAGACCCTGTCTCAAAAATAAAACAACAACAGAGATGGTTCAGCTGTTAAGAACACTATCTGCAGCCGGGCGTTGGTGGCACACGCCTTTAATCCCAGCACTCGGGAGGCAGAAGCAGGCGGATCTCTGTGAGTTCGAGGCCAGCCTGGTCTACAAAGTGAGTTCCAGGACAGTCTCCAAAGCCACAGAGAAACCCTGTCTCGAAAAACCAAAAAAAAAAAAAAAAAAAAAAAAAAAAAGAACACTATCTGCTCTTACAGAGACCTGAGTTTTGGTTCCCAGCAACCACATGGAGGCTCACAACTGTCCTTGGACTCCAGATCCAGAGAATCCAGTCCCCTCTTCTGACCTCCTTGGGTACTGCAGGCATGTGGTACCCATTCATACATGCACACATAAAATGAAAATGGAAAGAAAGAGGAAGAAGTCACTCCTACATTAAATTCACTGTGTGATGTTTTTACTTGTGAATTCATTAAGACAACATGATTTTTATATTTAAAAAGGGGAAGAGGAGGAGGAAGGGGAAACAGCAGCAAAGGACCATTCACACAGTTCAAGAAGAGTGGAGACCCAGGTAAGGCAGAGAGAGTGAAGAGGATGGGCTAAGAAGGTATTTCTAAGGTAGAGTGGGTTAGTAAGAGTTGAGCATGAATTGAGATTTCAGAAAGGGTTTCAGCATCAGAAGACTTCGGCTTGAACTCGACCACTTACTAGATAGTAGGATCCTGGGCAAGCTGACTTTCCTAAATCCCAGATTCTTCAAATGCAGAATAGAGAGAGAGCCACCTTCCACTCAGATAAATGCAGATGCTAGATAACAATTGCAGAGCCCTTGCAAGAGACTGGCAGATGGCAGGCATTGGGTACAGTCAGTTACAGCTCCCTGTGAAACTTCAGAGACACACGCTTGACTTCCTGCTAGAAGAGGAGGGGCAGCTGTCAAATGACACCCCAATCCCTTCCAGAGAAGTTTAGAAAAGAAAACCCAAATATTAGTCATAAGTCCCAGCAACAAATGGAAACCCACATAAGCCAACTCTCTGTACTTGCAAGGTAGTAGAGGAAGAGAGAAGTGATACAGAAAAGCCGATTGAAAAATGGCCCCTAGCCAGGCGGTGGTGACACCGCCTTTAATACCAGCACTTGGAGGCAGAGGCAGGTGGATCTCTGAGTTCAAGGCCAACCTAGTTTACAGGGCAAGTTCCAAGCTATATAGAGAAACCAACCCTGTCTTGGAAAGGAAAAGAAAAAGAAAAAGGGTCCCAAAGAACACCATACACAGACAGCTCTAAAACCAAAACTCTGGCAGAAGTTGTGCCACAGCTGTCTGTCCTGAGAATGGAAGATGAGAGAAGGAGACAGTTAACGCACATTTAGAGAGCATCTCTTCAGGGGTCAAGGCGATAAATCATTAACGGAAAGGGGCCACAGATAAGCATGTAAAGCCACTGGAGGCAAATGGTCCCAAAATGCTCTAAGGGATCAATACCCTGGAGAGTTAGCTACACTGGAGCCTGCAAGTGCAGAGAACTGTCACCCAGGGTGGAATAGAAACAGTCACTGACAGAAGAAGGGACAGACACCTTGGAATGGAATTAGCAGGTATCCAGGTGCTCCGGGAGAATCAAGGGGCTCACCCCGGTCTCAGCTAAACACAGGAGGACATCAATCACACAGGCATGAAGACCACGTCCACAGGAGGACATACACATTCTAGATTCTCCAAGACTGTCTCAATTCCAATACGACAGAACTGCAACCTTAATATAGTAAAGTATTCATAAATGTGCAACTGTTTGGCCAATCAGTAAACATTCAAATACACATCTGGCCCAGTGATGTATGCCAGGAAATCCCAACACTTAGAAAGCTGAAGTAGGAGTATTAGGTACTCAGGTCAGCCTGGGCTACCTAGTGAGACCCTATCTCAAGAGGTTGAGGGCAGGGCGCAGTGTTGCACGCTTTTAATCCCAGCACTCAGGAGGCAGAAGCAGGTGGATTTCAAAGCCAGCCTGATCTATATAATGAGTTCCAGGACAGCCAGAGCTACATAGTGAGATCCAGTCTCAAAAGATAAAAAATAAAAAAATAAAAACAAAACAAAGGAGCCTGAGGTCTGGGGGTGAAACTCAGCAGTAAGATGCTTGCAAAGGCCCTATGATCTAACCTCAGCACCAAAACAAACGATAATGAAAACTAAAAACATGTAAAGGCATGACCATGGCATAATGACCATAGTGTTAGGTAGAGTTTAGTGAATACACTGGTAATTTTCATGAATAAGGGATAATTCAGTCCTATTTTTATAAAACACATTTAAATATATATATATGAGTTTGGGGAGCACTCAGTGGGTAAGAGCACTTCTGTGTAAGCGTGAGGACCAGAGTTCAGATCCCCAGCACCCACATGAAAAGTCAAGCATGACGGTATGCAACCCTGTCGTCCCAATACTGTGTGGGGCAGAAGCAGTAGGGCCTTGCTGACTACCTCAGCTCCAGGGCTAGTGACAGAGAGGGACACCTGATATCCTCTGATAGCCTACACACTAACATACATAGGCACTCAAACACGGGTGGGCATACACCACACATGTGTGTATGTGTGTGTGTGTGTGCATGCGTATATATGTATGTATGTGATCTTCAGAAAAACTGTTGAAGATGGTATAACCACAGTGTTAATAATGTTTGCTTGTGACTAATGTTATTAGAAGAATTCCTTTGGGTTGGGTTTTTTGAAACAGTATCTTCCTGGGATGGCCTCAAACTCCTGATTCACCTGATACAACCTCCCAAGTGCTGGAATTTCCAGCTTAAATCACCTTTCTAGTCTGATTATTTTTTCTCTGGGGAGAAAGGGTAGAGAGAGTTGAGACAGCATCTCATGTCATCCAAGCTAGCCTCAAACTTTCCCTTGATTATCCAGCCTCCACCTTCCAAGTGCTTGAAATTAAAGTGTGTATCTCCACACTTGGCTACTTTAAAAATTTTTTTCTTTATACTTACATAGTTAACATCTTTTACTTTTATAACTCAAAAATTAACATTTTTATTTCAAAAACAGAAAAAAGGAATTAAAAAGAGATTGAGAGCCAGAAAAGATGAGGACTCAGAGCTTAATAAAATACATAATTGTATGTGAAACAGATCCCTACTTGTCTGGATGGCCTGTGGACACAGGCCCCAGAAGGGTTAGCCACCCTAAAATTAACAGGCTAAGTTGTGCATCCAGCAGCAATTATCCATGACACTATCAGAGTTTCAAATT